AAATGAACTTGTTTCCCAAAACAATTAATTAAATTCAATTCAATTTTAATTTGTATAGGGCGCCAAATTCATAACAGAAGTTTATTCAGGACACTTTTTTTTTTTTTTTTTTTTTCCCCAAATAAGAAGCAAAAGGTTCCTAGAACCCGAAAACCTTTCCTTTTTTTTTTTTTTTTAAAATAAACTTTAAAATTTTCCCCCTTCAAGACCAAAAGTTCTTTTTTTGGAAGAGAGGGCAGTTTTTAGCTTTTTTTTGACAATCAAAAATGCCCTTTAAATGGGAAAAAGGCTTTTTTTTTGTTTTTTTTTTTTTTTTGGAGCCAAAAAACAGCAAACGCTTTTTTGAAATCAAACCCCCTTTAAAAAATGTTTTTTTTAACTTGGGACTCAAATAACCAGGCTAATAGACTTTTTTGGAAAAAGGCTTGGTTTTTTTAGGAACAAATAAAGGGGTTTTTTTTTTTTTTTTTTTAAAGAAAAAGTTTTTTAAGTTCAATGAAAAATCCTTGGTGGGCCAAAGACCATTTTGCCAAGGCCTTGGAATGTGAAAAAAATTTTAAATGGCTTTTTTTTACTTTTTTTTTTAAAAAAAATGAAATTTTTCCCTTTTTTTAAAAGTGAAAATTTTGGGAAAAAAAAAAAAGCCCAAGTTTTTGCAAAAGTGAAAAGAAAAAAAAATTGGGGGGTGAACCTTTTTTTTTTCCTTTTCCTGGTCCTGGTCGGCCTTTTTTTTTTACAACATGGCTGTAAAAAAAAACAAGTTTTTTTTTGGGGCTTTGTTTTTTTTTTTTTTTTCCATTCGCTTTTTCAGACCCAAAATTTTGGGAAACAAAAAAAAAATTTTAAAGAAAAGAAACATTACTTAAAATAAATTTCCCAGGCCTTGAAAAAATTTATTTTTTTTCCTTCCAGTTTTTTTAAATAAAACAACAGGTAGTTTTTTTTTTTTCCCTTGTATAAATGAAAAGGGCCCCCACCGAGAACTAAAAAAAGCCTTTAAAACAAAAAAAAATTCAAAAAAGAATCTTCCCGAATTTTTCTTTTTTTTTTTTTTTTGGTTTTATTTTTTTTTTTTTTTAGGGCCGAATGGAAAAAGCAAAAAGGCGAAAAAATTTTTCGGTTTTTTTTTTCCCCAAAATGTGAATTTTGCCAAACCAAAAGAAAAGTTTTCCAGTTAAATGCAAAAAAACTTTGTTTTATAAAAATTATGGTTTTTCCTTTTGTGTACGCCAATTTGGCAAATATAAAGGGAAGATTTTTGGTTTTTTTTTTGGTGGGGATTGAAAAACTTTAAAAATAAATTCTTTTAAAAAAGGGCTTTTTTTGAAAGGACAAAAATGAAAAGGATTTTGAGAAAGGAAAGCCTTTTGAAAGGTTTTTTTTTGTTTACCTGGTGGGCCTTTTTTTCCTGGTTCCTTCCTTTTTTTTCCTTCCTTTTTTTTTTTTTTTCCTCCCTGAAAAGTTCCTTGCGGCTCCAAAGGTTTCTTTTCCTTTTTTTTTAAAAAAAAGCAATGAAGACAACTTTTTCCAAGCCTTTTGCAAGCCTTTCCAAAAGCCCAACCTTTTTTTTGGTTCCCCTTTTCCCCTCAGCCTTGGAAAAGAAAAATGAAAAAAAAGGAGGAAAGACAGAAAAAGGAAAAAAGAAAAAATTGTTAAAAAAAATTAAAAAAATGGAAAAGAAAAAACAAATAGCCCCACATTAATTAACCCTCTTTGGAAAAAAACCAATGAACTAACAAAAACGCCCTACGCCTTTTTTTCTTTTTGAAAAAATACCACCAGCTTTAAACACACAAGAATTTAACTAACAGCTTTTCTTTAATGTACCTTCAAAAAAAAGCTTTTTTTTTGGCCCCTTCCGGAAAAAAAAAAAAACTTTCTTTTTTTTTTTTTTTTTTCCCAAGTTTTTGAAGGCCCCTTTTTGCCCAAACTCCCTTTTTTCTTTTTCTTTCCAATTCTTTTTTTTTTCAATTCTTTTTCTTTTTCTTTTTTTTTTGCTTTTTTTTTTTTTTTTTCCCTTGGAGCCTTTTTCAAAAAAAAAATGGAAACCAACTTTTTTTTTTTTTAACCCTTCCCCCCCAAATTTTCCCTTTTTGGAAAAAAAAAAGAAAAGCCTTTTTTTTTTGGTTTTTTTCTTTTTTTTTGGTAAAAAAAAGGGTTTTTCCCCCAGCTTTTTTTAAAAATCTCCCTTTCTTTTTTGTCCAGAAAACAAGAAAAAGCCCCCAACAAACAAAACAAAAGAAAAATTCCCCTAGTCAAAAGACCCGTTTTCTTTAAAAGGAAATTTGGAAAGGAAATTTTTTTAAATTTAAAAAAAAAAATTTAAAATTAAAAAATTTCCCCTCTTTTTTTGCTTTTAAAGAAAAAAACGCTTTTTTTAAGAAAATTCATTCAGCAACCCTCAAAAAAAGAAAAATGTTAAAAACCACTTTTTCTTTTTCCCAAAAAAAAAAAATACCCTTGGGTTTTTTAGGCCCCCTTGTTTCCCCTCCCCTTGCGGTAAAAACGGCCTTTTCCAGCTTTTTTTTTTGCTCCAAAAAAGAGAAAAACTCTTTTTCCCGTGGTGCCCCCGTTCTTTTTTTTTGAAAGTTTTTTTTTTTTTTTTTGAAAAAAAGAGCCTCCCGCTTTTTGGCGTGTTTTTTTTGCCCCTTTTGCTTCTTTTTCTTTTTTCCCCTTTTTTGGCAAAAAAAAAGCCCTTCAAAACCTCGCCAACCAAAAGCTTTCCCCCCCTCGCAAAACCTTTTCTTTTGTTTTTTTTTCCCAGTCCCCCTTCGAGCTTGCTTTTTCTTTTTTTTTTTTTCCCCAAAGGATTCCCCGCCTTTTTTTTTGCTTTTTTTTTTCCTTTTTTTTAAAATTTCCAAGAAAGGGCCTTTTTTTGAAAAAAAAACCGAAAGCTGCTGGGCCCCTTTGGCGAACGGGGAAAAAAACAAAATATGCCTCAAAAGGAATTTTAACAACAAGAGATTGGTTTTTTCAATTGGCAAAACTGCAAAAATTTTTGGCAAAAAAAACTCAAAAACACCAAACAAAAAAATTGTCCTCCCAGCTTCTACCTTTTTCTTTCCCAGGTTTCCCATTGCCAAAAGAGGTCCCCTCCCCAAAAAAAAAAACCCTCTCCCTTGCAAAAACCCTTTTCTTTTTGTTTTTTTTTGGTTTTTTTCCTTTCCAAAGTTTGGGGAAGAACAAAAAATTTTGGCTTGGGGGTGGCCCTTTTCCCACAAGCCCCCTTTTTCCCCCTCCCCCCGCCCTTTCCCTGGAGCCTTTTGGTTTTTTTGCCCAAAAGGCTTTTTTCTTTCCCCCTGTTGAAAAACAAACAACACAAAAAATTAGTTGAGCCACCTTAACCTTTGGAGAAAAATTACAATTCCAAAAAAAAAAAAAGTTTTGGTTCCAAAAAATGTGAAGTGTTTGGGAAAAAACACTTTTTGGGCCAGCCAAAAAAAAAAATTCAACACAAACGGCACTTTGGTTTGGTTCCTTTTTCCCCCAAAAGACTTTTTTTTTCATTCCGGCGTGCCCTTGGTGAAAAAAATTGGTTGGGGTTTCCCGGAATTTTTTTTCCATGTCCCCTTGGCCTCCCTCCCAGTTTTTTTTGGGCGTCAAACCTCGCTTGTTTTGGAGGTTTTTTTTTTGAGAACAAAAGGCAAGCCTTTTTTGTTTTTTGGGCAAAAAAAGCTTTCCTGCTTTTTTTTTGCCTTTCTTTCCTTTGCTTTTTCCTTTCCTTCCAGCCTTGGCTCCTTTTTTTCAGCACCCTTTCCGCAACTTTCCTGGCCGCCCGCCGAAAAGCCTTTCAGGCCTTGCTTTTTTTTTTTTTTGCTGACCCCCGCCCTTTTTTTGCTTTTTTATAAACTGGCCAAGCCCCCGCAAACCAAAAGAGGGGAGGAAAAACAAAATTGTTTTCCCCCAGTATGGGACCATTGAGCAAGGAAAGGGCCTTTTTTTTGCAAAAACTTAATTTTTTTGCACAATACTTTGGGGAAAAAATTTTATTTTTTTTAAAAATTTTTTTTTTTTTTTTTTAGACTTTTCCAAAATTCGAAAAAAAAAACACAAAAAACAACAAAACTTTGAAACCTTTTGGACCTTTTTTTCCTCAAATCCCCAGTTTGGTTTTTTTTTTTTTCAGTTTTTTTTCTTTTTTTTTTTCCAAATTTTTTTGGGAAAATTTTGGGAAAAAAAGCAAAAGGGTTCCTTTTTGGCCCGCGGGGGCCACTCAAGCCTGGCTGGCTTTTTTTTTCTGGCTCTTCGGCTCCTTTCCATTTTTTCTTTTTTTTTTTTTTTGCCCGACCCAACCGTTCTGCCAAAAATTTTTAAGAATCAAGCCTTATTTT